GATTATACTACTCTTCCAACCGAGTACATTATTAAGGAAGAAGACATTTATTATAAATTATCTTCAATATCATCTTTGAAAGCGGCTGGCCCAGATGAAATACCGAATTGGGTTCTAAAAGATTATGCGCCCCTGCTGGCTCCTCCTGTTACTTCAATCTTCAACTCCTCCCTTCAACAGGCGTCTGTTCCCGCGGTATGGAGAGAAGCCGACGTCATCCCTGTCCCTAAAAATAAGGTGCTGAGTGACATTACTAAAGACTTGTGTCCCATTTCGCTCACTGCCACTTTGTCAAAAACGTGTGAACGTCTTGTCACAGACTGGCTGATGGAGTTGATTGGTGAGAAGATCGATAAACGACAATTTGGATCCCTAAAAAACTCCTCAACAGCACATGCATTATTGAGCCTTCTCCATCACTTATTAAACGAAACTGATGTGTCGAAAAACGCTGTGAGAATTTTTTTATTGGACTTCTCCAAAGTTTTTGATCATATTGATCATAACATCTTCCTCAGTAAATTATTTAATCATTCATCATTAATAACAAACTGGATAAGAAGTTCTCTTACTCGACGAAGCCAACGGGTCAGAATGCCCCATTGTGTGTCAGAATGGCAAATCCTCAACGGTGGAGTATCCCAGGGAACTGTTTTAGGCCCAATCCTCTTCCTAATCATGATAAATTATCTCCTCGCCGATTGGAAAGACCGATGGAAATACGTTGACGACACCACCACCACTGAAACCATTGGCCCAGATTGTAACAGCAACCTTCAAGAACTGGTTAATTACATCGATAATTGGACTACGAGTAATAATATGAAACTAAACATTGGAAAATGCAAAGAGCTGGTTATTGATTTTGCAAAAAAGAAGCATTGCTTTCCCCCTTTAATAGTGAATGAAGTTAATATTGAACGAGTGAAATCTGCCCGTATCCTTGGCCTCACAGTTCAAGACAACATGAAGTGGAATGAACATATAAACATCATAGTTAAAAAGCTAGCAAGAGGCTCTATATACTAAGGCTGCTGAAAAGGTCCAACGCGTGCATAGACACATTGATTACTGTGTATATTAGACCTGTTTTGGAGTACGCGTGCCAAGTCTGGCATTACAATATCGAACAATATTTATGTGACGATATTCAAAAAATTCAAAAACGTGCATTGAGAATCATCCTTCCATCGCAAAAATATGACGAAGCACTGATCACGACCAACATCACGTCGCTGAGAGATCGCCGAGAAAAATTATGCGAACATTTCTTTGAGAAGAATATTGACAATGAAAATCTCAAAGATCTTTTACCAGAAACAATTTTATCTGGATGATCTAAGACCAATATGTAAATATCATAATTATGTTTGTAGAACTGAACGTTTTAAGAATTCGTTTTTGTCTCAAAGTATATTAAAGATCAACAGTAAATAAGTTTTTAGAAATGTATAATCACCTCAACGGCAACCAATCAGCGTGGAGAATTTTCAATAATCACCTATGTAATTATACTAATTAACAATTATTCGCCGAAGGCGAAGTGTTTACCGGTGAATATTCACCGAGACGAAGTCGGGGTGAATATTCACGGTAATCATTGAGCCTGAGGCGAATAATTGTTTTAGTATAAATTTTCAATGAATAAAACAAAATATCCGAATATCAGTTCAATTAAATATCAGAAATAAAACTGTTTTCGGCCTGTTCACTAATAGTGTTGCAGTGTTTCTTGTACGTACATGCTTTCAAAATGGCTTCTTGTGTGACTTTATTGCTTGATTACAAAGTGGTTTTTCTTGATTTCTGCTTGGAATATAAACACAATAACGGAATGACTCTTTTACCAGACTTAGAATTAAAAATAGTTTCTGTTTAGCATTAATTTCTTCAGGAAATGGCTGAGGAATTTGGTAAAATGAAATGTAAAACTATATCGTCCGAAATAAAGTTTTAATAACACTTTTTACTTTACAAGTTTCGAAAACACAATACAGCGGTCAGAACACCATATATACAGCACAATGAAAGAAAAAGAAATAGTATCGTACAAATTGGGAAATCTATAGTATACAAAATAAAATGGATTTTAAAGAATATGACGGCAAGGTTTTTCCCAAAACTGAGTCGGGATGGTTTTTCCTATTTGTTTGAAGTGAATGTTTCGGAGTTTTAAATAAGTTTTAAATTGTCCGTGAATATGTTTGACACAGTAAAATAATAAAGGAATCCTACCTTTCAAGTTAAATACAACATTTTGTGCTTCTTTTGTTTTCTGAGGACGATTTTTTAAATATTTTGTAGATTTTGAAACCAAATTTGCCGAATCATTATTTTTGAAAAGCATTATTTACTACCCAGGTAGTAAGTAATGCCTCAGATTTACTAGTCAACTAGCCAATCAGAACGCGCGAGAGTGCATTTGGTATGCAAAATTTATACTAATTAATAATATTAAAATGTTTGCCATCTTTAGTTCTTGCGCATGCACAGACGCTTTTCCGCGGTGTTGCACCCCTGAGTCTAGCTGAGTGGGACTTTTGTTTAGATTCCTATTTGGTGCTTAATTGTTAATATCATGCACTTCTAGCCCGAGAGCTGCTCTTGCATAAGTGGCAGAGTCTACTGAGTATGTTTATTTCTGATTCTGTTTGCTGCAGGTAAAAAGTCATATTCTATTCTTTTATAGTAATTAATTATTTAAAGTGTCTCATCAGAAGCTCGACGTCCCTTACAGATATGATGCAATTTGCTGCAGGTAATGCAAATAATAATCAATTATTTATACCCAATATACACTTCCCGAATTTGCATGAAAACACACGAAACTACAGTACGAAATCAAAGCAGATAATCAGGGCTGTAGCTACACCCCCTCCCTCAATAATTGCGGGCAATATTTTTTATGCAAACGTCAAGTTTAATAAGAAATTTAGGTAACTATCGTGTCTGAAATCCGCGAAGACTTATAGCATTGAATATAAGATTTAGGAAAATAGTGGTTTGTCGGAATTGGTAAAACATGGATTGGATAAGAAGGAAAAGAACTAAAATATTTGAGAAAATGATAAATATTAGCCAGGAATTTTGGGAAAGAAATATTAATTCGCGGGTTGAAATAATGTCGGGTTATATGTTATAAATTTTCAGGTAAAATTATTGCGGACATGTATATATTATATAGGTATATTTTTGTTGCTCGCCCCCAAACGAAGGATGCTCGCAACGGCCCTGCAGACATGTAAAGTAACAACAAAATTTTAAATATTCTGTAATGCCATTTTCTTCAAAAAGCAAAAAGTCTCGTTTCCTTAGATTGGTATGACCGAATTTTAAATTTTTTTCCTCCCGACCGTAAAAGTGCATATTTCTTTGTGTACAAATTTTTATGGTACCTTACTGAACTCGTTTTGGAGAGATTTTATGTTCATTGTGTTATTTCTCGTTCGGTCAAGCTGTTTTTCGTTCTCTACAACATCAGTGATTTGACATGCTCGTGCACAAAACTTTCTTGCTGTTGATCAACTGCTTTAAGCGTATTTACTCTTCTATATAAAACAAGTCCCATGGGCAAGATTTGAAGTAAATATTGTACACCGACAGTAAATTTCCCGCTCGGTTTAAATTTGACGGAATTCGACGAACGTTGCCATAGGCGTATGAGCCGGGGGGGGGGAGGGGAGGGCACGTGCCGTATCGCATCTTTTAAATTATTAAAACCGTCCCAAAACAAAACACCAGAATCCACTTTACATTCAACTTACTTTCATTTTTAATACTCGAGGATTGGGGAAAAGATAGTTGGCACATTATCATATATAAGCTCACTACATGCATATAGGGGGATTGAAACTGACATAGTGAGCTTTGTTTAAAATACGTTGTGTAAAAATAAATAATAATAACAATAGACTGCGCTTGGTTCACACCAGGCCATGGCCCGCTGTGTAAACACGGTTGAAGGCCTACCGGTAAAATATTCCTTATAATTTTGAATAGGTCTTTGAATAACGTCGCAAACATGTCAAAACAAAAAGTAACCGAATGGCGCAGACAACAGTGGGATTTCCAAAATAGTTAAGAGAGAATAGAGCATCCCAATCACAGGATTGTGGCCCTTGGTTATTTATTCACCTAACGTAATATAACAAGTTTCCTGGTTACATTAACCAGACTATATTAACCAGACTATTGTAGGAAGTGAGATATAATAACTAAACCAGGAAATGTAAAAGTGACGTAGCCAAGGGGCCCCAAAAAAATCAGGGGGGGGCACTTCAAACAAGATGAAAACTGAAAAGAAGGAAACAAAGTACGTGCTCTATTTAGTAAGTTTGCCTTTAAAACCCTGCACGTACGACCAACTTGTTTGTTGTTATTTTGATAATCAAAGAAGAATGCCCCGAATAATGGTAAGTTAATTTACCAAACTTTCCTTAGTTGCTGAAAATGTTAAAAAGCTGAAAACACTTTCTATATGTTTCGATTAAGAGACTACAAATGAAGCCAACACGACGGGAAATTTGAGAGTTCCAAACACAGAAAAATTTGAGCATAGAAATTTAGCGCGGGTGTTTTAACCAAGAAAAAAGGAAAAAGCCCTCGGTTGGTGTTTTAACCATGCAGTCTAACTTTGAATTTTCCCAGGAATATTAATTAAAGTGGCACTGTCATCAAAATTTTTATTTTCTTAAACGAAAATGCTCTTAAAACTGTATAGTAACTTGTTTTGAAGATTTTTGTTCCCATGCTTAGTTCTTGAGATATTTCATTTTGTTTGTAACCATGTGACGTCATTTACTCAATTACATATATAATGAGGTATCAGTAATTATGGTGTATTTTTGTTATTTCTTATCAAAATCTTTCGAAAGATGCGGCACGTTTGTTAACTTAACCTACATCATTAAGTATACTGTTTTTTTTTAAACAAATCCATCAAAAATAGCAAAGTTACACAACAATTACTGATATCTCATTATATATGTAATTGAGTAAATGACGTCACATGGTTACAAACAAAGTTTTAAGAGCATTTTCGTTTAAGAAAATAAAAATTCTGATGACAGTGCCACTTTAAATTAAATTATTTCTAGGTTAACAGAAAAATTTTAACCATGTGTTATGTAAACGTCAATTGTACTCGAAACCATAATCTGATAATCTTGCATGCACAAATTCTATTGGGTAAATTTCATGACAACAATTGTCTTTTTATAGGATTGGATTTTAATAGTCGAACGACTTCTTCCGAACTCAACACGTTTATCGATAATCACCTTCAACCAACTACAGAATTCAACAGGGAAATGAATGAAACAGTGGATCATATATGCAGTTTTTTTCGGGATCACTTCAGGCCAAGCCGAATAATTAAGGTATAGACGCACCTTAACGGATATTTCAGATATTACCATTATTATTACCTCAAGGGTGTCAAGTTTTCACCATTGTTACCTAGGTTATGTAATCATCTGGGTTTGTATGTGTGTATGTTTGTATGTGTGTATGTGTGTTTGTCTGTCAGCACAATTACTTCAAAAATACCAAACATATTCATACGAAATTTTTTGAATGCATTTCCCATCGGAAGAACTGATTAAAATTTGGTTGAATTTGGTTAAAAATTGAACGAGAAATGAACAAAATTTTGTCTTGCTTTTCCCGGTCATTTAAAAAAAACTTACTGAATGCGTAATTAGACGTGTATAATTTATGCACGCAGTAGGTAGCACAGTGTATATATAAAGTGTACAAATAATGTAATTAATTAATTAATGGTATCTTTTTAGGTTGTATACAATTGTAATTCTAAAATCGTGTGCTTTACAAATATATTCTAATTTCTTAATAATTTTATATACACGCTGGCAATATTTTAGGTATGTTTTATACGCCAAATTTTGGTCGCGTCGAATGCGACTAAGATAAACCTCATTAAGCTTCAGCCTTCATTATCTATTATCTTAGTTGCATTTCACGCGACCGAAATTCAATGTCTAAAACAAGGCTAACGGAGTTACGCATTATTGCGTTCAGCAAAGTGCCAGTCCATTCAAATTCTAATAAATTAGATTACTTCAATACAGGGTGTATAAAAAAAACGCAACCTAGCTCGGAATTTCCCAAGAAATCGACATTGTTTTAAGGTAATTCCGCAGTAATTGTTCCCGAAATGAGAATGTGCTGAAACTTCCCAGGCATGGAGTTTATGATATACTTAAAATAAAATCATACAAAAAAGTCGGGGTCACCGAACTCGTTAATTAAGAAGATATGACAATTACAATATACCACGTTTACCCCAATATGGCGCCATCTTGACGCTCATTACGAGTAACAGCAAAATCATCACAGCCCGATATTTATTGACGTTTTTAGCGAGGATTTTGCTTTAGTAAACCTATCTTGTAATTATTTTTGAAAAATATTGTGTTTTGAGCAAAATGAAACTACTAACGTGTACAATTCTGATCCACAAATGTCTTTTCCACATTTCTTTACATATCTTTCTTTGAGAACATGCATTGATAACAGTTTTTTTTCAAGATCCAGAAATGATTTTTCTTTTAATTTCGGATATGAAATGTAAAATGCATTAAGGAAATAAATTATCAGTTAAAAAACGGGGGTCACCGATCTTTTAGGGAATGGTGGCATTAAAACGTGAAATACAAGTAAATAAATATACTACAGACACAGAAACCTATAGCTACACTTCTGTATGCCTTTTTGAAAACATTGATTTTAACGTAATTCTTTGCACGAATGTGACCAAAGATGTTTTGAAGTAACATAAAATTGTCATAAAATGATTTTTGTTTAACGGTACGTATAATATCCGTTTAGTGCCAACATGAAAAATAACGCAGCCTTTTATTGTTTGAACCTTTTATTAACCGTGCTGGTTTTCTAAATAAATTTAAGGACATACACTATGTAACAATTTGACAAACCTACATATAAACTTAAACAACTAGTTCACACACATACCTCACGTTGACGAATATTAATTTACAGCGATGTTAGTCCTTTGTCCTTATCCATGTCAATAATGAATTACTTTAAATATATTTGATCGTTTATCAGGCTTCAAAACTTAGTCTTAAACTGTTCACTTCGCCGAATTCAGCGCATATATCTTATACAAATTGAGCCCAACATAATCACATTCCGACCCAAACAATATTATGCAAATGCTCCACAACCAACCAATCAATTCGGGCAATTGGTCCCTACAGTACGTATAATGGATGAAATTATAAGTTATAAGATGTGCGCAGTAAAAGTGCGCAATGCAAAACTGCGGAATTACCTTAAAGGACAAAAGATTTTAGGTGCCTGGGAATTTAAAATAGAACAACTGTTAAAATTACTGCAAGTTTTTATTTTACAAGTACAGTACAACAACAGTAATATGATCTATTAGCAATTCGATTTCAATTCGCGGGGGCCTAAAATCTTTTATGCTTAAGAATTGCAAAATGGATTTCTTAGGAAATTCCAAGGTTGCGTTTCACTTCCGAGTATAGCGGGCGGAGGTATGCAGTCTCTGAGTGCCCTCTACTTTTGTTTATGAGTTTGTTTGTCTGCGTAACGAAACATGAAATTTGCTTCAATTGCTAGTTGCAGAACAAAGTTTGTAGAAATATTTAGTGTAATGTTTGCCTGGGGTTAAGTTACTGCCTATTCTGCATTTTCCAGTTTGTTCCTAATGGCAGTAGTGCGGTATTCTTATATACAGTTAAATAGACAAATGTCGAAAAAACTAACCCCTGTACAAATATTGAAAATACAGGGGAGGGAGTAATTGAAATCAGGCAAACAGTAGGTCCACACAGACCGAACGCGATTCGACAACGCGACGCGAATTTTCAGTTTATAAAAACAAATAAATGAAAACAAATACTGAAAACCGTCAAGGGATAAAAAATTTTCAAGATATGCAGACAAAATAGCTAAAATTACTTAAGTGGTTCCGAATATTTGAAAAACATAGAAAAATAGTGAAGTTAAATGTCATTGAAAATTGAAAATTCGCGTCGCGTTGCTGAATCGCGTCCGCTCTGTATGGGCCTTTACTGTTGAGACCATATTTCGACGTGATATGCAAATTACAAAGGAAGTAGAGTAAACCATGTCCTTAATTTCTGTCCATGAATATATACCTATAACGTCAACTTACTGCACTGACTTCATTTTAGGGAGGCTCACTGGGTAAAGGGACAGCCATTAAAGGAAATTGTGATATTGATCTCGTTCTCGTCTTAAACGAAATACAAGATGCTGCCGATCTCAAAAGAAAACTACCAGGATTTCAAAGACAAATTGTGGAAAAGTTGCAACATGAATCGAAAAGATTTACTGTAATAGGTTCAATATCAACAAATAATTTTCTTGTGAAATTTTCAGTTGAATTGAGACATGGAAACATAGATGTTGACCTTTTACCAACATTTCGTTTTACAGGTAATCGAAATACTAAAGATTAACAAAACGGATTTTTATGTTTTGTACAATGTGACTTGTCAATAGTTACCTGAATGTCAAGAGATAGCTAATTAATTTCACGATAATAACCGCGTTAAGCCTGCCGCACACGAGAGCAACTTGCTGAGCCTCGAGTGGCAGCTAGCTCAGCTATGTATTTTCACCGACACGTTGGGAAAACTACTCAACAACAACATAATTAACAAAATTATTTCTATTTTCCTCCATTTTGTTCCAAGTCACATGAAGAAACTATGGTTTGTCATTCGCTAATTGATTCAAACAGCTCAGCACTTAGGTTATAGATTCATGTCTCGCTATTTATAATGCTAACCCTAATCCCCACCCTAACCCTAACCGCTAACCCTATTAGCGAGACATGAATCTATATCCAGCACTTAGCTCACAATATCCGCAGACGCTGAGATTTTTTCCTCGCGGGGCGAAAAATATCAAACACGATAGATATTTTTATCAAGGCCTCGAGAGGTCAAATCCTCACGAAAACTATCCATGCACACGAGAGCTACTTGCTGAGCTAACCGCCTCGCGAGGTGAGCGCACCTGATTTAAGGCCATTTTCCATTACAGTCGCTTTGCGCGCGCGGGTGAAGCACCGATTTTAAGCACATGAAAAATCAGTCGCGCGGGCACGCCAAGAAAGTTGAATGTAGTTCAACTTTCATGGCGTGTCCGCGAGCAGTCAGGCGACAAAAAATGCACAGGTTAGAAAACTAGACTGAGAAAGTTGAGTGATGTTCGCTCCGCCCGCGCGGGCAAAGCCACTGCAATGGAAATCGGCCTTCAGGTGAGCTCTCTACATTTTTGCAGACTGTATAACTTTAACCTGGAAAGTGTTTTCGAAACTTGTCGCTTCGCGACTCGGGCAAGTTGTGAAACTTTGACTGACACGCGTAAAATTATACCTTAATTTTACTTGGCCCCATGCGATTACCTATACAAATTGCACTCTACTCAGTTCAATTACCATTAATCATTATAAATTATAAAAATAATTGAAGAATTATTAGAACCAAAAGTAAATTCTGGAATTTTCTAAGTTTATCACATTGCCACCACCCAATTAATCCTCTATTCGGAGCTCATTTCTTGACGTTCGAGGACACCATGCAACCAACCGGCTTTTTTGTTCACTGTTTACAGATCTCAGAGGTCTTTACCGTAAAATGAAAAGTGACAGAGAATACGAACAATATTACAGTGCAGCATTAGCGGAGCAGCAAGTATGAAATATGTTATGTTTTATATAATAATCAGGGTCCATTCTGTATTTTCTTTGGTCGAGATATATGACAAAAAATCAAAACGAATTTATATTTAAGCTTTTCGACTTTCTTTGTCATGTGAAAGTGTGAAACAAAGAGTGAAACAGGTAACACTCCGATCTGGGCTACTTGATTGTTACCATACGTATCTATAATTGAACAATGACAAAATGTTTTATTTATTTATTCGTTATATACAGTGTGTATAAAAAACGTATGGCCTTTAAATCAAGCATAACGCCGTATTCCATTGAATTCATCTGACAAGTTACATGCAATTACTTCGAACAAGTTAGCGGCCCGTAAAACAAAAGACTTTCTAGTTTTGTTCGTGGAAACACCACGTAAATTTATTACTGCAAAGCTTTCGATCCGTATGCCCGGATCTTCATCAGTGCTAATAATATCATAGATTAAGTAAGAAGTGGGTACAAAGTGCCGGTTGTACTAGCCAGGATGGCGTGATTGATGACGAATCGCTTGTAAAAACGCGGACAAATACTTGCTTGAGTTACACTTCTGCTGTACCTTCTTATTCTGTGACTTCACTACGTTTGAAATGACGTGGTTGATGTGCCGTTTAATTAAAATTCAAATGACGCGAGCCAACAGATCACGACACTTTTGTATATAAAAAGGGCGCGTGAATTGAACAAGTCACATATTATTAGCACTGATGAAGATCCGGGCATACGGATCGAAAGCTTTGCAGTAATAAATTTACGTGGTGTTTCCACGAATAAAACTATTATATGTTTTTAATCGCCATGCAAACGTACAAAGAACTTAAAAGACTTTCTATACTTAAAGATGATGTCCACCCCTGTGCACATGCGCAAATTTTGTTTACGTTTTGAACTGCTATATTTCTAAAATATGATATACTAACTGAATATCTAATACTTTTCTGGTTCGCTATACTTGTAAATGAATATAAACTATACGTTTCAATTCAAAAAAGTTCGAAAGATGCAAAATTTGGACAATGTTTATATCTGTTATGAGCAGAACTGATGAGAAGAACGGGGTGGACATCATGTTTAAGGACATGTATGAACAACTCAATGGAATACGTTCTTTGTATGTTTGCATGGCGATAAAACATATAATAGTTTTGTTTGTGGAAACACCACGTAAATTTATTACTGCAAAGCTTTCGATCCGTAAGCCCGGATCTTCATCAGTGCTAACACAGAGTAGATAAGACATACAGAGACGTAACTGACCGTTGTAAACACTGCGGAAGATTACGTTATCATGTACCCACTTTTTTTCAGGCGACCGGGCGAAAAATGATCAACTGCGCGTGCTCAGCAAGTTTAAAGTGAGTCGTCATCAGGTCGTCATCCAATCAGATGCATGCATTTAGCTGCCTCGTCCCTCGTCGCTTCAGTTGGGATAGAGATCAGTGGAAAAACAATGGGAGCGCGGTGCTTAATGGGAATGCGATAGAATCTGAAATCAGCGCTGCTCAAATTACGCGACCGCGCGTACAAATGAGAGCCTGTGGAAGAGTCAGTGCATTTAGTAACTTGCCGAGCGTGCGCACAAAAAAAGTGAGTACACTAGTTACGTCTCTGTATGTCTCTACTCTGTCACAGAATAGGAAGTTATACCAGAAGCGTAACTCTAGTCGTTTCCCTTATTGTTTGACGTCCACAAAAATTTTTAACTCGCTCACGTCAGGCCACGCCATCCTGGCTAGTACAGCCGGAAGTTTTTATCAGGATTTGGTAGGTACAAAGTGCCGGTTGTACTAGCCAGGATGGCGTGATTGATGACGAATCGCTTGTAAAAACGCGGACAAATATTTGCTCGAGTTACGCTTCTGGTATAACTTCCTATTCTGTGCTAATAATATGTGACTTGTTTAATTCACACGCTCTTTTTATATACAAAAGTGTCGTGATCTGTTGGCTCGCGTCATTTGAAAATTTAATTAAACGGCACATCAACCACGTCATTTCAAACGTAGTGAAGTGATTCCAATTAACGCGCGCACATCCAAGACAAGAGAAATTAATTTTGCACATTAAAGAGAGCACGCCACGTACTATTTAGTGGCTTTCCCTCCTGATCTATTGTATTGTGCTTCTCGATTTCAATTGACTCTCTCATTTTGCGAGAGAACTTATGACTATCAATCGCCAAAATGGTTGCTTCGTCCCATTTTATACGATGGTCGTAAGTCCAAGTATGTTTAGCCACAGCAGAGTATCTTGCTCGGCTTTCTCGCAATTCGTCTTGTGTTCCTTAAGACGTACTGAGAGATTTCGACCAGTTTCACCAATGTAAACCAGACCACATTCACAAGGAATTCGGTACACACCAGGTTTAGAGCCAACAGATCACGACACTTTTGTATATAAAAAGGGCGTGTGAATTAAACAAGTCACATATTATTAGCACTGATGAAGATCCGGGCTTACGGATCGAAAGCTTTGCAGTAATAAATTTTCAATGGAATACCCTGTACAGTACAAGCAGTTATAATTAAAATGAAGATATAATTGTCTGTTTTGTAAATAAGACCTGTTTTCGTCACGTATATCATTAACTCAAAGCAGTTGAGAACAATCAAATCACTTATAATTATCGTTAATTTCAATTTGAAAGGCTATACTTTTTTGATACACACTGTATACTTTATCACTTTAAATTTGTTTTTTAATATCTGCAATCTATATCTGTTAATCAGTCTTAGCAGCTCAGGTGGGGTCCCCTTAGTCCAACGTTACACCATTTTGACTATTATTATCAAGATGACTATTCTTTACTGTAATCTTGGAAACCGTATGTTTTGTGGCATTTCGAGGAAAAAGTTATTTCGCTGACCTCAGAATGACATTTCGTCAAAAAACTTTTTTTCAAAATTGGTTTAGAAACGAAACTTGGAGGGGTTAGGGCAAGGATTAGGGTTAGAGTTGGTGTTTAAGGGTTAGTGTTATTAAAACCGTTGCTTTGTTACGTTTTGTCACTCTGATCGAGGCCAGCGAAATAACCTCTTCTTTCGACTGCTTGTTCTTCAACTGCGAACTCAACCGACACAAATTGCCTTTTCCTCGATCGCTGGTGATTTTAGATTTTTCACTGTTATAGGTTGAGTTCGTGAGGGCTTGTCCAGCCAATGTGAAGAATTTAATTCGCTTGGTCAAGTACTGGAAGAAACAAAATGTTACATCCGTGTACAAACGAGAAATCCCAAATTCTTATGTAATTGAATTAATTACAATCCACCTTTGCGAAGGAAGCTCAGGGTGGTTCGGAACATATGATACATTAAAGGCCTTCCACAGCGTCATGGAAGCATTGGAAAACTACAGATCTCTGAATGTTATTTGGAGGAAAACAAATTATTCTAGAGATGACATACCAAAGCAAATCCAACAGGAAAGGTACGAATGACGAGATTTTTGTCCCAAATTTTGTAATTTAACTAATGTCAAACATGTTCCTGTAGTGTTTATAAAAATACAGAAAGAATGAAGTGTTAATTTTGTATTGTACTGTCACTTATATGTTGACACAGGTCCGCGCGATAGCTATCAAAGAAAATGAAGTTCGTTATCCGAGAGCATTCTGACACTTTAACCACCAGGCCTGTAAATGTTAGTCAAACTTTATTAACAATGCTTCAGTTTTATTAGAGAGTCTTCGTCAGAGATATGAAAAAATTAATCGTCCTTTCACACAAATTTTGCTACTGCAGAAAATAACGAAAATATTTTGTCTCAAGATGGCCTTTGAACTCGATCAGAATTCGAGGCTTATGATAGCCTACACGTTCTCAACAGCAAAGGCCGAAGAGTTAAGCCCCGTACAGACGAACAAGTTTGCCTTGACAAATTCTATTTGTTTGTGTGTACGCCACAAATTGACAAGTTTTATCTTGACAAGTTTTATTTTAACAAGGAGCCTTGTTCAAAAACTGGTCATGCAAGCTTTTCAGAAAGGGTAATTGTTCGTGTATATAATATACGGCCGTCATTAAGGAAAACTTGGCGTTGCCATTAAAATATTTTGAAATTAATTCGCTTTTGAAGTGTGGTATTATTTACGTATACTTAAATAGCCGGGACTCATGGTAAATCTTGTTAAGGTAAGAAACGTATTCGTAAACTCGTCAAAAGAGTTGTCGAGGAAAACTTGTTCGTCTACACGAGCCATTAGGTTTTATTGACGAACAAAAATCTGAAGGCTCGGAAAAAACCTCTTGAAATACAGAAGTGAACTAATGGACCATTTGCATTATAGACTAAATTTTGATCTAGGCAAAAATTCATCACAGCTTGAAAGAGCATCACAAAATTAGTAATATTCCAAAGTTTCGTTGCAAAATGTTGTAAAATGCGGATAATATAGTCTTGTGAAGTTTGCCGTTTTTTCAGTCATTTTGTATTACGCACGGGAAATTGACAGCCCAATACCCTTTGGGGCATCAATTTCCCGTTTGTAATTTAAAATGACTGAAAATTGCAAATTTCGCAAGGCTATATTATCCGCATTTTACAACATTTTGCAACGAAACTTTGGAATATTACTAATTTTGTGATGCTCTTTCAAGCTGTGTAAAATTTTTGTCTAGATCAAAATTTAGTCTATAATGCAAATGGTCCATTAACAAAACTTAACTTGCACGAGTTTTCATGCACAAGAAAGTTACCCAACCTGAGTAAATACCCACACTTGACCTATACAGTTGCAGGCTTGATGCAACGGTATCCTGTCATTTTAACATACTGAATAAACTTGGATACCTGAATTAACCCGTTATTTTAAATTTATAGACCGTTGGTAATGGATCCTGCAAATCCAATGAACAATGTGTGCAGCATATTTGAGTGGGAGAAAACTGCAAACGCCGCAAGGAGAGTGTTGGGTAGTCCGATGATGCGTTGAGGTACCTCCTAACTAGTTGGACTGAATAAGGGGATTGAAACCCGCCATTTGATTAATTTTCAAGAACAGATTTTATCAAGCAACTCACGAATTGTGGAGAGTTAATTTGTTTCGTAATATATTATTTATCTTTCTTTTGAACAAGTCTTAAGTTGTACTGCTGTATAATTAGTACGTTCACCCCACGTAAAGCACTCCAATGACACTGAACGCTGCAAGTGTATGTGATGTTAGGACACGTGAAAATGCATGATTTAAATAACGTATATAGTAATCTCAAGAAAATGTAATTCGTCTGAATACAATTTATTAAATTTATGCACGACTGTAGTTCAAGTAAATCCGCAGTCAGGGACGCCGGAACGATAATAAGGCAAAGGGGGGCAGACGCACACCAAGGGCACCTCTATAGAGGAAAACTTCAAAATCTACCGGAAAATCTTTTTTTTTCATGGAAATTTTTTGGCCGACTTCCCCCCCCCGTCGCCAAAAAAATTTCGGTCAGTGTACCATTTTAGGGGTCAAAAATTTTTTCCGGACATACCAAAATTTTCCGTTAACTTAAAAAATTTTTCTAAATTCCAAAAATTTTCTAAAATTTTTGTAAATTTAACTCATTCTTTACCAAATTCACAATTATTTTTGTTAATTTACTTTCTCTGGGCCTATTAATTACCTGAATCTCATGATTTTCCCAGAAAAAGCATCACTGGAAATGTGATTTATCACGTAGTATTTTACAACTAAAAGGGCACTTCTGCCCCCCTGCCCCCCTCCCTAGCAAAAGGCAAGGGGGGCAGTCGCCCCCCCTGCCCCCCCAGTTCCGGCGTCCCTGTCCGCAGTTAATGCTGTTTAACTCTACTTTGATCGGGAAAGGAAAGACTATACAGAGTAGCCCCAGTTACCTCGTCTGCATGTATGTAATCGGCAGTAAGCACATAAGTCAAGTTTGGAGCTGAAAGTTCATGATCACTAGAAAATAATTATTTAATTCTCCCTCATTGCATTCGTCCAAATGAAAAAAATTTTCGTATTAATCAGTCATATTCTGTGGCTATGAACTGCAAACGCATTATTTTACAGGCTTGGCTTGTTCAAAGCGAACATGAATGCAAAGTAGTTTTATTGAAATTTCACACAAAACATTTTTAGAAGCTCTATAGATAACGCTAATCTCTTTTTGATATCTTCTTGCACATACATGTCTTTTGGTATGATAGACTTCCACTTCTCAGGTAGGTTTAATAATCTTTTTTTTTTAATTAATTTCCGGGAAGCTTAGTCTCCAATTTTCGCTGCACCTCAAGTGAGTATATAAGCGTTAATCTTGTACATGTACGAACTGCTTGAGATACTCCTTTAAAAGTTTACGAAATCTGGTATAACTTTCTAATTTTATGTCTAAAACTCCAATGTTAAGTAATCCCTTTGACCGAGACAATAAAGCCCGGACTGCATTTAAACTGTTTAAAATTCTCATCAGCAATGCTGCTGGTATTAACGGGAGAACAACGTTTGCAATTAACGTCTGAACGTTCGCTCAATAGACAATTCCAGCTATCGACTAATTTTTATCTAGACAAGAAAGACGAAATATATCATTATAGTTCAAAAGAGCATCCTACAATTAGTTAAATTGCAAAGTTTGGTTGCGAAATGTTGTAAAATACGAAAAATATAGCCATGTGAAATTAGCAATTTTCAGTATTTTATTATTACGCGCGGTAAAAATAATCACTTTCGGCTCAAAAATGGTTAAATTGGTTAAAATGGTTAAATGCCGCCAAGCAGGTTTGGGCGCTCAATGCATTGTGGTTGACAATGACTCTTTAAAGAAATGTCTTCTAGACATAATTATACTTTTATATATAATAATAAAAACATAAATGGACTCTGCCTCGATGGTAGTAGATTGCATCTAAATGCAAAAGGATTAGCTTTACTTAATTGCTGTTGATTTTATTAACTTTCTAAGT